TTAGATTATAAACAATGAAAAAGTAAATTTAGAATCAGAACTAAAAAAAAAAAAAAAAATTATAAATATCATTAAGGATAAATACAAAAAAAACATAGAAAAGTAAAAATTATAATTTATATATATTTATTTATTCATATATATATATTAAATTTTTAATATCAAGAGTAATATGATTTGTATTTTAAAATAATAAATTTCATATTTATGTTTTTAGTTTACTAAATAAGTTCAAAGAAAAGGATAGACATATTTATGAATTCCAAAACTTTATAGTTAATGGTATATATATGAGTTAAAATGAATAAGCTTTCTATATATAATAATATTTTTTTTCTAAATAACACTTTTTTTAAAAATATTTATATATATATATATATATTCTTTAGAGTTAACTAATTTAAAAATGGCCATTTTACGAGAAAATGAAAACAATTATTATAATGAGAATAATAATAATGAAGAAATAACGAATAATAAATTTATGAATATAAGCATTCAATTAGATATAGTAAATATATATTAAAATATATTTTATTCATTCTTTATTTTTAAATATAATTTATGTATTTTTTGTGATTTTTTTATTATTTAATTTTTACAAAATAAATTTCAATTTTATTCATAATACTCATAATGTTAATTTAATACACCTTTATTTTGAATAATTTTTATAAGTTAACAAAAAAATTAGAAGATAAAATGACGATATCTAAAACGGAATAAATATATGTGTAAATATTTATCAAAAAAAAAAAAAAAAAAAATAAAATAACCCTTTTTGTTTTTATAATATCTTGATATGAAATCATAAATTTTTTCATTTTATTATTTTTAAAAGTTATTTATTGAAAAATGGATATAAAAGGAATAAATAAGTATTTAAGAAGATAATAAATTAATTATTAAAGAATAAAAAAATATTAAATATATTTATATGTATATAAACATATATAAAAATATATCATGGAATATTTATTATTTCCCAATATAAAAAAATGTGAGAATGTGTTTTTTTTATTTTTTAAAAAATTTAAATTTACTAGTTTTATTTCAAATCATAAAAATGTGAATTTGCAGGTGTTAGAATGTAAAGAAATAAATGATTATAATTTCAGTAACATAATAAAAAATGAAAAGACTTTTTTAATTTATGGATATGCTGACTATTCAAATAGAAGTATAAATTATTTTAATAAAATAATTGATATAAGTAATAAGGAAGTAAATAGTAAATTAAATAAAAAAATACCAATATATAAATTAAATATTGATAACAATTATTTACTCGTTCAAAAATTTCATATAAAATCCATTCCAGTAATTCAATTAAGACATAAAAGCAAACTAATTGAAGAAATAACAGGAAATGAATTAAATGAATTGAATTTGCAAAAATTATTATATAGGTGTCATAGTTATTTTGATTCAATAAATCAAGTAGATGATATATGTGATTTTTTAACCAGAGAAGATGAACTTTCTTATATTGACAGTATAGAAGATAAGAAAAAGAATAAATTATATTTTAAAGATGATAACACACCTAAAGAAAAAGATAATATATGTGGTGAAAATACAAAATCTTTTGATAGTGATATTAAGCAACTTTTTAAAAATGAGGTATTAGATAATCTACAATTAAAATATAATTGCCAATCTTATGTGATATTTAAAAAATTAGAATTACTGCTAAATGAAAAGAAGAAAAATATGGTATTAATTAAATTTTTCTTAAATGAAATACTTACGAATCATAAAACTTACTTAGATATAAACCTCAATTACAATAAAATAACTGCAAAAGGATTTCTTTTTTTATTTGATGAAGATCTCTTATCTGTCGAAAAAGCAATCGAATTAAAAGACTATTTGGATGAAACAAATCAAATAAATATGGAAATACTGAGGTTAATTAATTTCAAGGAGCCAATAATTACTTTTGATAATTCAAAAAGTATTCATTTAAACGAAATTAAAAATTTAGAAGATTTTTTATCAAAAGAAGAGGAAAAAAATGATATAAAAATGTTATTAGAGAAAAATGATTTAAAGGAAAATATGCAAAAAATTGATAATATGAAAATAGATAATAATATAAAAATAAAATATTTAAGTAGGATATATAGAATTTTAGCAATCAAATATTTAGATATAGGAGATATAAATAATATGTTACATTATGCATTAGAGTCATATAAATTAAGTTTTCCTTTAAATAATCTGGATCATACAAAGTCGAAAGTTCTTATTGAAAATATTATTTTATATTTGGGTGCTTATAATGAAAATGTAATAAAATTTTTAAGTCAATTGCAATTTTTGTTTACAGATAAGATTTTTAAAGTAGTTAGATTTCCTCACACTAGAGCAATTAAAGGTGGTAAACCAATTATGAAGAGAGGGAAGTCAGGAAAATGGCTTTGGTTAAGTCAAGATTGGAAACCAAGATGGATAAAAAAAAAAACAAAATTAATTTTAGAAGAAGAATGGAGATGTATACCTGACAAAAATGTACCATTCTGGAATTAGACAAGTTTTACATTATAATTATTGAAAATTTTTTGTTTCATTTTTAATAATTTTTAATTTTTTACGTATATTATATATGTTAAATAAATACAATAAAAAATATTTTATCTATTATTTTTATTTGATACATAATATATAAATAAAAATAAGATCTTTGTATTTATTATATTTTTTTTTTTTTTTTTCTATTAACAAAAAAAAAATTTTTTTAAATAATAAGACTATTCTTTCAAAAAAAAATAAAATACCTTAATAAAAGATAAAATTATTAATAAAATCATTGGTAATGTTTATAAAATAATATTTATGAAATCATTGATGAAACAAATATACAAAATTATTTATAAAGTTATATATAGAATTATTGACAATTTTATTAGTATATAAATAAAACTTAATAATATAATAGATAAGACTATATATTAATTTATTATAATATCAATATTCTATATTTAAATCTGATTTTATATTATTTAATACATGTAAACCCATTAAAAAAAAAAAAAAAAAAAAAAAATAGAAATATCCATGTAAAAAAAAAAAAAAAAAAAAAAAATATATATATATAGTTTATATAAAATTGTATCAAAAATAATTCATCATATAAGAAATATTATATAAGAATTATTTTTATATATTTGTTTGAATATATTAAATTGAATTAATCCAATTTATTATATATATATATATATATATATATATATATACATTTTATTTAATTTTATATTTTAATGTTTAAAATGATTCTAATATCTTTTTTTTTTTTTTATGAACTATTTTGTTAATTTTCTTTTTTTTATTAATATAATTTTTTTCTTTTTTTTCGTTCAATTTATTTAAAATTCTTATAAATATTGAATTTATACATAAATGTCACTTTTTGTTTTATTTTTTTTTTTCGGTAAATGATTCATATTTTTGTATTCTGTGTAAATATCAGTCGTTAGTTTTGCTTCATTTGTCACGTTTTCTAAGTTTTTTTCATTTTTAAATTCAGATAAATTATTAACAGTACTATAATCACAATCTATATTGTCTGTAATTAGGCATTCTGCTTTTGGTGCCCTCTTAAGAACTTCAAATGCATCTTTTGCTTTTTGTATTTGTATTTTATTTAAATATAATTCTTTTTTTAGATGATGTAATTCATCAATTTTATGTTTTGCTGAATTATCGTATAAAATCTCTTTAAATTTCATATCTGTATGAATTTTTCTATTCTTAGCTACTTCTTTTAAATAGGCATGTTGTCTATGAACTTCATTTTCTCTTATTTGTTGTTCTAGTTCATTCATAAATAAATCTTTTTTATTTGATGCTTCAATCACATTTTCTAAATTATTACACATTAATCTTAGTTCAGCTTGAAGTTCCTTATTTCTTTCTTCATACTGCTTTATTAATGTTTCAGTACGTACTATTTCACTTTTTAATAAAACTATTTGTGCGTCCTTTTCTTGTATCATAGACTGTAGATGAGATGATTGTTGCTCCAAAATTTTTATTTCTGAATTCAATTTATCAATTTTTTCTCCATAAATTAATTGTTGATTTTTAAAATGTTCTCTTAATTTTGATAGATCTTTTTCACATTTTTGTAGCATACTTTCCATATATGCAATTCTCATATCTCTAGAAACAATTGATTCCATATATTCCAAAGTGTCTTTTCTTAATTCACTCAATGTTTTAAATGTATTTTCATATTTAAAATTAACATTCTTGTTCTCCTCTTTTAAATCGTGTATTTCCTTTTCTAATTCTACTACTGTAGATTTTAATAGATATACATCATTTTTATCTAATATATTATTTTTTGAAATTTTTTCTTTTTTTTTATAAACATTTTTCTCATTATCTGATATATCCTCATTTTCAGAAAAAATATCTTCACCCATTTTTGATTTAAACATTCTATAGTTTTTTTTGTCTAATTCATCTTCATCTAAATATTTAGTCCCTTTGGTTTTTTTTAAATTTTTTTTCATTATTTCATTAGCATCACTATGTAAATACTTAAAAACATTATGTATATCATTCAAATTCGTATTTTCTTTTACTTTTAGCAAAAAATCATTTTCATGATCAACTGAATTTATTTCATTTTCTAGTTTTGTTAATACTTTATCTCTAGCATTTAAACTTGTTTTTAGTGTTCTTTTTTCATCTTCTACTTTTTTTAAATGCTTAAGGGCTTCTTCATATTTAATTTTTTGATCTAAAAGTTTTTCTTTTAATTTATGATTTTCTAATGTGCTATCTAATTCATCTAGGGATTTTTCTTTCTCTATATTTTTTTCTAACTCTTTAATTTGTTCATCTTTTACCATAATTAATTCATTTAATTTATTTTTTCTTGTTGTTCCACGTATATTTTCTTTTACTACTCTTTTTTTAAATGGTTCATGGATATATTTCATTTCATTTTCATTGTTTTGATGATTTAAATTTGGGATGTTTTCATAAGAATTTAGTTTTGCAAATTGTTTGCTGTAAATAGATTGTTCGCAATTTTGAGGAATTGTTGCTGTCTCACTATATATGTTTTCATAACTATTTGGCACAATTACTTGTCTATTATGTAAATAGCATGGGGTTTTATATACTCTTTTTACTACATATTTATTGTTATTGTTTTTTCCTGTATTCATATTTTCTATTTTTTTACTGTTTGTGCTTAGACACGGAAATGAATTTAGGCAATTTGAATTTTTTTGGAATCCAATATTATGACAATTTTTTGATATGGGCGTTTTTATTATATTGGGATTATTATATGCCTGTTCAATATATACAGGCGAACTGATAGAATTATACATTGGTTTTAATTTATTATTACTGTATTCAAAAACATCTCTGTTTTTAGTATTTAAATTGTCTATATAATTTGTGTTAATATTGCTATATTTATTTGTAGATATTAACTTATTTGGAAAAACATATGAAATTGCTTTCATGTTATTATAGCTTGAGTCATGCATGCTACACATATACAATTTATTTGATACATAAGATTTTTAGAATAATTAAAAATTATGTATTATTTAAAATTTTTTTTTTTTTTTTTTTTTTCTATTTTAATATAAATATCCCTATTTTTTTAAAATAATAAATGGATTGCATTTAATTAATTTCTTTATTATCTAGTAATTACTTTGTATTATTGAAAATAATTCTACTCTCTTTCAATATAATTAGAATATATATATTGTTGTATCTTTATATTTTTGTTTGAAATGCTCGAATATTTTGTAACATTCCTTTTTATTTATTCATTCCAGTAAAAATCATTTAATTTTGAATTTTTAATTAACTAAAATGTCTTACAATTTTTATAAATTATATCTGCATCTATGATTCTATTATAAAAATATATATATATATATATATATATATATATATATATATTAATCTTGATAATTCTATAGGAATATATTACATCTAAATTTTCTTGAATACATCTATTGTATAGTTTGTATGATAATTTTACTTAAATTATTATTAATTACAAATATTTTTTTTTTTTTTAAAAAGATTAATAATTTTAAACAAATTTATCTGAAATAATATAAGTTCTATAATTAAATAAATTTACAATATATATCTATTTTATTTTTTTTTTTTTATAAAATTCTTTTTCTTTCTGTTTTAATTATGTTTGTTAAATTAGGAGAATAGAAATAATAACAATAATGTCAAACAAAAAAAGTAAAAAAAAAAAAATACAACATAAAAAAACAATGAAATAAATGGTATAATATTAAAAATTATGATAAGAAAAGTGAATAGGTATATTAAATAAATTCAAATAGATTATTTCTATGAAAACTAAATAATATAATCAATTAGAAACAATGTCAGAGTAGAGTTACAAGTAAAATAATTAAAATTATAAATTTTTATGTTTTTGTAAGAAGTATGAAAAATGTTCCTACATTAAAATCATAAAAAAATAGAGAAAAGGAGAAACAAATTAAAAAAAAAAAAAAAAGAAATTTGAGAATGATTTTTACTCTTTACATTGGTATAATTAATAAAAAAAAAAAAAATGAAAAAAAAGTGTTTTTTTTTTTTTTAAGTTTTCAAAATAGATTTGTACTGTTATAGAAATTGTAAAATGCCAAATTAAAATTATAGAATATAAACAATTTTATAATGGAATATTTTGTATGTAAGATATACACACTTTTTTAATGAAGTTAATATAACTTACATAAATATTATTTAATAATGTAAAAACTGTGGTGCAATTTTATACTTAGAAGTAAAAATAAAAAAACATATAATTTTTATTACGTATGTTTAAAAAAAAAAAAAAAAAAAAAAAGAAAAAGAATGCTCAACAGAAACCCGTAGAAATAATTAAATTTAATACTTTATTAAATTTTGTGTGCGAATAGTTTGTTATAATTAATATAAGTTTTTTTTTTTTTTTTTTTTTTTTTTTTTTTTATCATTTCGTGTTAGAGAAAAATATTGCACGTTGTTTTTCACTGTCATATGATAATAGTTTAAATGAAAAAAAAGTATTTAAAAAAATAGACTTCATTAATAAAGTTTTATTTATTTAAAATTTGAGTGGTTTTTACCTATATAAATATTAATTATATTTTTATTACATTATTATTATAAAATGTATATGTAAATGTAAAATTATGAAGTGTAAAAATTACATATGATAAATTTTATTTTTGCACACCTATTACAACGCCAAAAAAAAATGTATATACAAAGTATATTTAAAACGGTATTTTAATGATAATATATTAATTTAAAAGGAAGAATTAAATTTTTGTTAATATTAAAATTTTTACTAATTACAATTTTCTTTTTATACTTCTTTTTTCATTTAAAAATGTCTATTATTTGTTTATTGTATTTATAATGAAAATCATATATCATTTATCATAAAACTTATGGCTATATATTTTAAAATATATGTATATAAATGGTAGAAATAAAGAGATTATTATTGCACATCAGCATAATGAAGGAAAGGAAAAAAAAAAAAAAAATAAAGAGAAAAAAAATATACAAAAAGAAAAGATAATAGACATTATTGAAATATTTGCTAATTAAAACTTAATATCTTATATTTAATGTTGATAATTTAGAGATAATTAATATTAATTTAAAAACATCAATATTATCCCTTAAATTTTTTTTTTTCCTATATTTTTATATATCACATAATAATTCTTGGATATCTATTTAATTGCACACTCTTGTTAATAAAAAGTTTATTATGAAAATATGTTAGCTATAGTATTTGAAATTATTTAATACTTTACACACAAAGAAAAAAATTATTATTATTTCTATTCAGCACTTTTTATTTTCTGATGAAATATAATGATATAATTTTAGAACTTTTTATATATTATTCTTCAGAATTTTTAATTAATATGAATCCTATATATATCCATGAAAATTAAAAAAAAAAAAAAAAATTATTAAATGTCTTATATATTATTTTGTAAATTCTGAAAAATTCCAACGGAAGATATGATTAATAAATAATCACAGAAACTCAGAATACTTTTATTACAATTTTTATTTGGTTTTTGGATTTAAAGTTAAATAAATTTATAAAACATTAAAATATATAAATTATTGCTTATTTCGTTTAATGAATTTAATAAAATCTATTTAATTTTCATTGGGAACTTGCAAATGCGAAAATATTTTTTTTAAAAATGTTTAAATTCATAATTGTTTAAGTATAAATATTTAATAGTATATTTAATGAATAGTGGGATAATGTATATAAAAATTTTATAAATTATGAATTTAAAAAAATAAAAAATTCATTCAATCGTATTTTAAAAAAGAAAGTTGTATTAATATGAACTAAAAATAAGTGATAAACATTTTTGTACTTTAATATTAACTTTTAGACTAACTCTACCGTTCTATAAACTATGAAGAAATTAATAGAAATTTATATTCAACAATACATGTAACAATTATATAAAAAAAATAATATAAAATATAATATCATAAGACTTGTGTAGAAAAATGTAATAAATTTTATTAAATTATTTAATTTCTATTTGAGCTACTATGAAAAACATAGTATCTTAAGAATTTTTTTAAAAATTTTTTATTAATAAGCTATATAAGAAAAAGTAGTTTTATATTTATAATATTACAAAATTTATAACATTTTATAAATACAAAATTAACTATTCAATTTTTTTAATGAAAAAAAGTTATCCTTTCATGATTTATTATAATAGGATGCATTTGTATATATTATTTATTTTATTTAAAAATATTATTAAAAGTAAAAAAATATTTTTTATTATATATATATATATTGTCTTTCTTTTTTTTTTAAAGTAATTTATAGTTTTATTAAACGTGTTATTTTGTATTGTTTTAAATATAATATATACATTTCATATATATATATATAAATATATTCAATTATAAAAAAAGGTCAATAGTATAAAAATAAAGAAATTAATAATTAAAAATAACAAACTGTAAATAATAAATATATAGATAAAAATTTCAAAATAAAATATAATTTCTATTAAAAAATAAATTAACGGAAAATTAATAAAGTATTTACAAAATAGTTTAATATCAAAAAGTAAATATAAAAAATTTTTTCCATTCTTAAATTTATAATTTTCTTTATAGTATAAGTTGTATACCTTTAATAATATATTTTATTCTATTTTAATTTAAAAAAAAAAAAAAAAAAAATGATATTCTTTTAATAAAAACCTCTAAATTTTTAAATTTAAAAGCATTAGACAAAGTTATGTTATTATTTATTTTCTAAATAAAAAAAAATTTATGAAATAAATTTTCTTTTGTAAATAAATATATGTATATATATATATGTTCTTTTTTAAATGTATAAATAAAAATTGTTATAATTATTATTTTATTAATTTATTTATAAAAATATATCTTTTAATTATGAAAATTCATTAATAATATATCACATAAAAATTTGGTATCTTATTTTCATTTAATCTATTTACTATAATTTTTTTCTTTTTTTTAAGAATTTTTATTAATTTTAACCATCATCTGAGTCATAATTTATTTCATCTTCCGGAACATAATTTTCATGTTCGGATTTTCCAGTTTTTTTTTGGATATTATTTGAATCATTTTTATCCTCCCTATCATATTCATCTTCTTCTTCGCTACTATTTCCTTTTTTTTTAATATCACCTAACATTTGTTGAAATAAGGTTGGTTCATTATCTAATTCTATATCTTCTGGATGCACAAAAATTTCTCTCTTTATTTCAGTTTTAGAGTAGGCTTTGAAATGTAAATCTATTTTTTTATCACATCCAAAATAAGAATCACTGAATGCATAAATTGTTATACATAAATTTCCAACCCTATCTACTAAAAATTGTAATTTTTCTTCTAATTTTTTTTCACAATTTTTTACATGTGCATATTTTAAAATACGATCATCTCCTTTGTATGTTGCAATTATCCACCATTCTTCAAACTTTGGCTGAGGAAAAAATGGTGCATGAATATAACCAGAGGCTTCTTTTTCATTTAGATTAAGTCTATCAAGATGAACATAAATTGAAGCTACATCTCCTTTCACAATATGAGTTTCATCTTCAACTAATATTTCTGCACTTAATTTTATATCAGGAACAATATTACAAAATGATTTAACATCTAGAATTTGCTCCTCGTTCATTTCTGCTAATCCTTTCCTATATTCATGATCTTGATGAACAAAGTCAATTAATTCTTTTACAGCAAATTTTCCTTTGTGAACATGCCTTATAGTATTATCATCAAAATGCGGAACTTGTAATAAACTTGAACTTCTCATATCAAATGCTTGTATTAAACATCTTCTAAATGTTAAAGCTGCCTGAGCTGTTAAAAACCAATCTCTTAATATACTTATTTCTATCATACTATGTGTTATAAGTAAAGAAAATTGAAGAATTTTTTCTAAATCTTTTTTTAAATCTTCCGATAATAAATCATACCTTCTTTGCATATGAGCTAATATTAAAAAATAATTTTTCGTTATAATAGGAACTTTAAAGCTCCTTTTTTTCGGCTCAACAAGTTCATCCATCATTTTTTTAATATACTTCTCATCATCTTCTCTTAATTCTAAATCTCTGCTTTCTGCTGTTGCAGCAAGCATTTCTGGATATGATTTCGCTCTACTATTTTCATTTATCGTATAAGTAAGATATTGTAATGTTTCTATTTTAACCCCATTGGGTCCATACTGTTTTTGTTTTTGGTAGTAAATAATAAAAATAGCAGGTATAAATACAAGAAATATTAAAAAAAATATAGATAATATTAATATTTGATATCGTTCGTCTATCAATAATTTAGGTAATCCAATTCCTACTTTCATCATTCCTGGCCCATCCGGGTTTCCATATTTTTCATAATTTTCCTTAGATATTTCATCAGTCAAAGCTTGATATGCTTTTGTTATTAAAATAAATTTAGCAGCAGCAGATGTATCATTGGGATTTTTATCTGGGTGATATTTTAATGATTTTAACCTATATGCCTTTTTAATTTCCCCTACAGATGCTCCTATATTAACTTCTAGTATTTCAAATGGATCAAATGTTTGCATTGGTTTAGTGTTCAACATTTTATTTATTAGAATACCTAATATTACCCACAATGATAATAAAACAAAAAATTGAACTATTTTTGTATATCCTACTTTTTGCCATAATGTTGTGCTCTTATTTCTTTTTTCTTGTTTCATTTTACACAAAGAGCATGTGCATGAGCGATAAACGCTATTATATTTAGATTTATTTAGGTTATAATAATCATTTTTAAAAAACTTATTAATTAAAGATTTTATATACGAATAAGTGCAAGGAATTAATACACAAATTAAAACTGTTCCAGCAAAAAAAATAAATGCAGAGTCATCATAACTTAACAATGGCTCTTTATTACTATCTTTAGTAAATGTATCACGAAACTGTGACATTATTAACACAAATTACAACAATGTATTTAAGAAATATATATATATATATATATAAACACACACAAAAAAAAAAAAATAAAGGCAAAAAATTCAGATATATAAATAATAAAAAAAAAAAAATAAGTTTATACTAAAAACTATAAAGAAGAAAAAAAAAATTTCTTGCAAACATTTTTAAAAATTTTAATAAATTATTAATTATTAAATATTAATATTAATATTCAATAAAATTACAAATATTAATCATAAATTTTTTTTTTTTTTTTTTTTTTTTTTTTTTGTTTTATAACCATAATATATTTTTTTTTATCATAAAATGATATTTCTATGTTTCAATATATTTTTGTTCTAACTTTTTTTTTTTTTTTTTTATCCTAAAAATATTCATTATTGTGATTAATTTCAACGTATGGAAAAAAAAAAAAATATATAAATAGTTATGAACATAATAAATAGATATAATAAAAATTTATATATGAACTCAAATATTTTTTATTAGAAAATTTAAAAGTTGGTCTTATATAAACTATCTTGAAACATTTTATATTAATTGTATTGTTTCATAAAAAATGTTTTAGAAATTTTCATTTCTTTTAAATTTTCATTTACATTGACTTTTTAAATATGAAGTTTACAATAATAAATCATTTTTTAGACTATTGCCAATAAATAAGTAAATATATATATTAATATTTTAAATTTTACTTATTTTCATTTTTTTTATTATGTGTATATGATGAATGAATAAAGATAAATATTTTCACATTCGATTATCATTCAATAGTTTTATATCTTAATATAACATGAAATGAAAACAATATTTTTTGAATATTTATTATATTAGTTTTTAGGGAAATATTTTTTCAAAACATAATAGATAAATAATAGAAATATTTAATTTTATAATGAAATTATTAAGTAATATAATCATATATGATATTTATCCATCTTTAAATTATTACGAATCTATTAAATTTACATTTTTGAAAACATCGCATCTACTAAAAGAAAAAAAAATTTTAACTTTAATAATCTATATCTCAAAATTAGTATTTCCATAAATTAAATAAAATTTACATGAATACAGAAAAATTAGATTAAAATTAAATATCTAAAATATTTTTTTATAAGAAAATATGTTCATAATATATATATATATATATATATATATCTTATTTCATATAGTAAAAACCTTATTAGCTAATAAACAAAATTTCTATATTTTTACATACATAATTTTTTTATTATTTAATATTTGAAATTTTTTTAACTCATTAAAACAGTTATAGTAAGTTAAATTTAAAATTAAGTTTTCAAATATATTAAGTTTAAAAACAACTTTTTCTATTTTAAATGAGTATAAAAGTTTTAAAAGTAAAAACTTCTAAATGAAATGAAATTAACAATAAAAGAGGTTGCATATCATACTAAAAATTTATATAGGCACATAAAAAAAAAAGAGAAAAAAAAAGTTTTTAGGAATAGTGAAATAATCATTTTTCTTATTTATATTTCTACAGACACTAATATATAAAAATCTAAATAATATTATCACAATATCTAAAAACGAATTAATTTGTTTACCTAATTATAAATTTCTTCCAAATTATTCTTTAACTTCCTGTTTAATTGTATATATATATATAATTTTGTAAATAAATTGTGTAGCTATTTAATGTTGTTTTAATTTCATTTTTTTTTTTTTTTATGATTACGCAATGTAACTATTTAAAAATATATTTTTTTTTTATGTACAAGAAATAAGGATTTTGAATAATACTTATTTTTTTTTTTTTCATAGACATAATATTTTTATTTGTTAATATATTTATACACATTTTTTTTTTTTACATATTTTATATATTTAAATAAAAAAATAAATATAAACATTTCTGTTTTTTTTTTTTTTTTTTTTTTTTTTGTTTTCAACATTAATGTAAAACATTTACTCTGTCTTGGGAAATATTTATATTTTCAATTTAATAACATTTCATTCTTGAAACATCTTTTTTTCTGCCAAAAAAGTATTTTTATTTCTATTTATATGGAAAAAAATATTATATATATACAAATATATCATTTATCAAAGTAAAGAAGCAATGTCCCGTCTGCATACATCAACGAAAGAGCATTTTAATACAAATGCATATTTAGATTCGTTAATCAGTTTAAATAAATATAATGATGTTTTTCTATATAGCAATTATTCAAATGGATATAACATTCCACATATTCTGAAAATATATGCAAATGAACTACAAAGTTCATGCGATGCATACAAAAGTGACTCTTCTCATATAAGAAGTGAAAATTTGCTACATCGAAAAACAGAACAAATTAGCGATAATACATATTTAAATAGTATATTGCATTCAAGTGATGTAATTAGCTCACAAAATGAAAATAAAATACTTCATAGTGATGAAAATTTTTCTTATAATCCTTATAGAAGTAAAAATAATTGCACTACCGAAAATCAAGACTATTCTTCTAGTTTAAATTCAATAATATTAGCAAAAAATTATTCCATAAAGTCTTCCTGCACTGAAGAAAAAAAGGACTTAAATAATATAGAACCAAATTCTACATATGGCAATGAAAGATATAATTCGATAAATGGTGAAAATAATGATGATAAAAATGTTGAGATTGTAAATATCAAATGTCATAACCATCAAAATTACGGAAATGATAAGAAGAATTATAGCGAATTTAGTGATATTGCAAAAAGTAAAAATGGGGAATTAGATAATTTTTATAGTAATTTTTCTTCATGTATAGTAGAAAATTCTTTAAATTATCCTAATAAAAACTATTCAAAAAATAATTATGATTTACACGAAAAAAACAAGGCATATATTGACGAAAGTTCTTGTGACAAAAGTTGTTATCTGTCTGATATTGATAAGGATAACATTTATAATAATTATCAATTGAATTATTCTACAGAAACATCTGAAAGAAGCAATAAAGGAATTTTAGATGGAAAATTTATAAATTCTGAAATTTTAAATAATTTTTCTCTAGGTGGATATAGAAATAATAATGAATACTATTCAGATGATATAATCAAAATAGAAAGTGAACTTGATGAATACTCTGAGTTAAAAAGTATAAATGATTCTTTTAAAAAAGAAATGGAATGTGATGTTAAATCAAAAAAAAATGATATACTACAATTAGAAAAATATGATTCTAATAAATTTTTCAGTTTAAACAGAAAAGTTGAAAAAAGAAATAAAAAAAAAAATAATATAATTTTTAATGAAAAAAAAAAAAGCTACTCTCTAGAGGACATGATAAGTGGTAAAGTAGAAATTCCAAGTACTATATTTATGAAATTACCATTTAATTCAAAAGGAGATAACATAATAGATTCATATAGAAAAAATAATAAATTATTAAATTTTATGAAAGACTGTAATGATTCTGTTAACCTCATTCTAAAATATCCACAAATCGAAAAAAACAAAAACAAAGAATTAAAAATTCCACCAAAAATTGCCCCATTAATTAGTGACAATATAGGTTTACCTATAAAATATGATGATGAATTTGATAGAAGAAATTATCATCCAAACGTTCAAAATTTACATATGGGAAAAATATTTGAAAAACATGTTTTCAGCATATTAAAAAATAAAAAAGATTTAGGAAAAAAAATATTTAGTAAAAGTAATAAATTTAAAAAATACAAATATGATAATAATGAAGGTTTTTGGATAAGTAATATTGATAAAAAGCGTTTAATAAACCCAGAAAAAAATGATAGTTATATCACAGAGCTCGTTTATGAAAAAAATAATGTGTACGATGAAGAAATGATCTTTAGAAGTTGTAAAAACTATGAAGTTATACCAACTATAAATGATTTACACAAAGATAATAATTTTTATCTTTTTTTAAGAAAAGAAAAAATATACGCTAGTGATTTAAAGCCGAACATTACAACTATAATGAGGAGATATGACATTGATAAAGTTTTAGATTATAAATATGTTGAATCATGCAAAGGAATTATACCTGTATATGAGTAAAAAATGAATATATATTTTTTTTTTCTGCTTTTTATGCATACATAAGAACTATAAAAGAAAAATATTTAATTAAAATTTTCTTATTTATAAAAAAGAAAGAAAAAAACAATAATTTTTTAATATTTTTATTTTTATCACTAATTTATTATTCCTTTTAGAATGTTTATATTTTTCTATTTTTTACAAGTATAAATATATTACTTTTATTAACTAGTAAATGTTTTAAATTATATGCATTTTTTTTTTTTTTTCTTTTTTTTTTTTAAATTTAACACTGAATTAAAAAATTATATTTTATTGGCTTCATTTTAAATAATCTTAAAGTATTATTAAATTAATTTTTAATGCATGTACAGAAATTATTTTAATGTATTTCATATAAAGATAAATAATTTAACTTAAAAATTTTTATATTTTTAAATAAACATGAATTTAATTAAACAAGTATATATGAAAGATGTTCCAGGCACTTAAATTTCTTATAATGATTCTAGTTTTTTTTTTTTTTTTTAATTTAACTTATATTTGTTTAATTATTTTAGTCAACTTTTATTTTATATTTAACAAAAAAGAAAATATATAAAAAAAATGAAAAATAATATTGTACACAGGGAAAAATTTAATTTTTTGACGAATTTTATGTTATTATAGATGTACATGCACATATATTTATACAAACATTTTTTTAAAGATAATTTTTTATTTTTAAGAATACATATATATATATAATTACATTCATTAATAATTATAATTTTTTTTTATTTTTATTAAAAAGTTTACTCTATAGAAAATTATATTTATATTCTGTAAAATGTTAATGTTATTAGTTTTTGTTTTTATAGTTTATTTTTATTTCTTTAATTTTTTTATATAAAAAGAAAATATTTGTAAAACTTGAATTTTGTAGAAAATTTTTTAAAGGATTATTAAATGAAAAAAGGGGAAAACAGAAGAGATAGATATAAATGAAGCATTTTGTTTCTTAAACTGCTTTAATAATTAATAGCTTTATATGTTTATTTTATTACTGATATTTTTACAATTTTTTTTTTATATAGCTTCGTTCCGTCGTTTTATAAATTTCATTGTGTATTTTTTTATATGTTTTTTTGTTAATATAAATTTATCAATAATAAAGATATATTTTATTTCACTTTATATTAATAATAAGAAAATTAAATTAAAAATCATATAAAACGCATAAATTTGAAAGAATATTTAAAAGTTTTATATTTTTTTGTTCTCAATAAATTTCTTTGTAAATCATTTTTTTGAAGTATTTTTAGTCGCTTATGTTAATAACTATTATTTTTTTTTTTTATTTTTCTTTTTCCATAAAATTTTTTAATAATAAATAATTAATACAAAAAAGTCTTTTCATTTAATTATTATTTATTTTAATATTTTGATGTATTTATCATTTGTATGTACTTAAATTTTATTATTTATAACTTCATCTTCGTAAATTAATAAAAATATAATTTTTTTTTTTATTTGATATTTCATAATATATTTTTATATTATTTCATCTCACTATTCAGTAAAAAAAAAAAGGCATTTATTTTAATTCATTTATATTGCCTATATATATTAATTTATTTGTATATTTACTTTATTTTTTTTCTCTACCTGTTCACTTATATGTTTATAAAGTATCTTTTTTATATAAATTTTTAATTATCTATAAGAACCAATGGATATTGAAAAGGTATATGACGTAAACTTTAGTGAGGAAAACATACTTTTGAGAAAAGAAAACGCAGAAGATAAAAATCTCCAACATAAGAAAGATGTTAAAAACTTTTGTAGTTTATCAGAAAATTATAATTTTTTTAAAAGCAGTAATTTAAATGATGAATTATATCATGAAAGAGATAAAAATAAAAACGAAAATACAAATAATGAGATTATGGACATCTATGAAGGGAAAAGTGAAAATTTTTATTATGAAAAGAGTGGATATTCGGATGTAGAAAAAAGTGATTTTTCTTTTGATGAAAAAAGTGAAAATAATTTAAATGAAAGAAATGAATACTCATTTACAGAAAAAAGTGATTTTTCATTAGAAGAATTGAATAAAAAAAGAAGTGTATCATCTTATCCATTATATGATGAAAATATATTACAAACAAATGTAGATTTAGAAGAAAATATATATAAGGCTATGGAAATAAACACTTATAATGAAAATTATGTAAATAATTATGAAAAAAGTAAATATGTTCCATTAAATACAAATAAATTTATACAGAGAACAAAATATGATGAAGAAAATAATATGAATAATAAAAAAATAAACGGTGAGGAAAAAATAAAATATATATATAAAACATATACAGCAGCTCCAATTTCTCAGACTGAGAAAACTGGACTTTGGTTAATTGACACAGTTAATGAACTATTAGATAAATTATGTGACAATAAAAAAGATTATTATTTAAATAGTTTAGACATAGTACAAAAGTATCCTAATGATGATTTGCTTTATACAAAATTGAATGAAAATATAAAAGTGAAATGGCCAGATTTTTTAAAACTGAATAATTTAATATATTATAATCACATTTTAAATATATATGAAAGTATGTATAAAAAGTTCATAAGTGACGAACAAACAAATTTTGTCCAAAATAAAAAGTTAATGAAAAAAACTAATTCTATACCTTTACCAAAATTTCCATACAAAAATTTAAAAGATAGATGTATTTCAAAATATTATGAAAATTTACCAGAATTAAAAGTTATTAATGAAGAAAGTGAGATGTCACAACATAATAATACAAAAAATGATGCATTTCTAAATTTCTTTTTTAAGAATTTTATTGATCAGATAAAGAATAAATATAATGAATTTTGTGATAATGTTGGAGAAAAATTAGAAAAAGTAGAAAAAAAAAATTATAATTTTAAAGAGTATTGTATGGAAGTTTCAAAAATTTTCGCCAGTAATATTCTAAATGTGATATCATTTTCTAAGTTCCCAGTATTATTAAACAATATTTTAGAATCTGTTCATGCTTGCATAAAATATCAAAATGAAGAAGAAATAGAAGATAATGTTTTAAGTAGTTCATCCAATATACACAATAATAATAAGATGGAAACCATTTATTCTTTACCATTGGATTCATGTAATACTACTTTTAATTTAAACACAACTATTCAATTAAATAATATTCAAAATAAAACTACTCCGTTAAATTCTAATTATTTTGTATGTCCCACGAAAGAAAAAAGGAATACATTATTTACATCAGCACAAAAAAAATATAATTACACTAGCAACTTTAATTCTTTACCAAAATATACGAAGACATATGCAAATAACAGAAATAAATTAAGTAAATGTTTCAGGACTGATGATATATTAAAATATAGAGAAATGAAACATAATGCTTATATTAACACAAGTATGCCACTTGACAGTAAATTAAAATATTTTTCTTCAAAAAACAAAAATACAAATAAAAATATACATGGAAATGAAAGTGAAAATGAGAAAGAAAACAATAAGTATTCAGAAAAAGATTCTAATATATCTACCCATGTTTTTAGTGGTCAATTTAAAATAAATAATGCGAACAATTACTATACTGTTAATTCATTGCCACTTGATGATTCTATAAAATTAGAAAATTCACCTTTTAATAAAAGAAGTCAAGTAGAATCATCTGAGTTTTTAGAATGCAAAAGTAATTGTACACCTAACTATTAATGCTAATAATTTATTTCTTTTTTTTTAAACCTTTTTATAATTTTTTAAATAATTTTTTTTTTTTTATAGCTATGAAGTTTTAATATACTTTTTATAATTAAATTTTAATTAAATTACACTTAAAATTTTTATGCAAATACATTTAAATTTTTATTTTATTTGCCGTAAAATAGTTTATATATAAATAAGCATTGTATTATCTTATTTAATTATATTTAAATTTTTTATTTTTTTTTTCTTTATTCTGCTAAATACGAATAAAAATAAAAGTTTTATTATTTTTTAATAATAATGAATATTAAATTTTGTTGTAGTAACTTTTTTTTTCTTTACAGAATTTCATATTTTATATAAATAAGAAGTTTTTATTAGATTTAAACATTTCATTTGAATATATTTAAACTTTTTTTTTTTTTTATTTGATTTCAATTTAATTAAAAAAAAAATTTATTTTATTAATCGTTTGAAAAATATAAATATTGCTACTATATAATTTTGCACACTTAAAATATATATATAGTATATATATATATATGTGTATATTATCTTTTTTTGTTTCGCGTAAATTTTATAATAATTATTTAGGGAAAAAATAAAAGAAGTTTATAAAAATTTTATATTTTCTTTTTTTTAAAATCTAATAGCTCAAAAAAAATATATATACAATTCAATGATACATTATGCATTAATAAAATGTTTTATGAAATATACATTTATAAAATAAAAAAGAAAAGGTAATTAATATGCTATTTTTTCTTTTTTTTTTTGCAAAATAAAATTTAAGTCTTCTTTTTTAATAAAACATACTGCTTTAAACTTAATTGTTTTTTTTAATTATATTTTTATAATGATTCTTATGTTTGCATTTATTTTTTTTTTTTTTGTGAAACATCTTCATTTAAATCTCATAATATATTTTAAAATAAAATGAAGATTATATGCATATATATCATAAAATAAGATATTGAAAAAATTAAGATAGTTTCTTAAATCAAATTATAAAAATACTTTTAAAATAATCTCCATTTTTTATTTAAATTCTTAATCTTTGTGTTATTAAACATTTTATAATTATGCATTTTTTTTTTTTTTTTTTTTTTTTTGTATATTTTATATTTTTTCTCCAATGAACACTTTATAATTAAATTTGAATGATATCATACATATAATCTATTTATACCTTAATATTTGAACTTTTATAATCAAATATTATAACATTTTTAAATTTTATTAAGAAGAAATGTTTTGATTTTATTTAATATTTTTAGTTTTTTCTTAAACGAATGTATTTTTTTTTCTTTATTCCCGGATATTTTAAAAACAATTTTTTATATCTTTTTTTTTTTGTTTTTTTTTTTTTTTTTTCCCTTTTTTCTAGTATAATTACATTTATAAGGATATATCTTATTTTAATTATATATATCATTATATATCTAAAAAGATTTTTTTTTATATATTACTACATTTTATATTTAAAAATTAGGAAATATTTTTATAAATTTTTTTTTTGTGTTTTATATATGTGAAAAATAAGTATTGTTTTATTTTTATTTTATTTAATTTTTTCATACTATAATTATCATTTCTTGTTATCCCTTTTTCTTTTTGTGGTATCATTTTTTGTACGAATTTTTTTTATTTTAGAAAAATTTTGAATTATGATAAATAGTAATGAAATTTGAAAAAAGGAAAAATGTCATCTCCTTACAACATTCATTATGACGAAAAGAATGATGAAGAAGAAAATATGATAATAAAGTTCGCTGATTATGAGACTTTTAAGTCTTATGTATTGAGAAAGTATGATAAAATATATAATACGTCAAATTATGAAAAAGAAAATATTAACTATTATAGTGTAAAATGGATAAATTTTATAAGCAGAAAGGTTCCTATTTTGCTTCAAAATAAAAGTGGTCCTTGTCCACTCTTATGCATTACAAATATTTTATTATTGCGTAATCAGCTACATATAGATAGAGAAATTACTAAAATTTCTCAGAAAATGATAGAGAGTAAAATAATGAATTTATTATTAGAATCTAATAAAAAAAATGTAACAGATAGTAGATCCTCATGTAATTATAGGAAAAATATAATAGAATGTGTTGAAATATTACCGCAATTAAAATATGGATTAGATGTAAATTGCAAATTTACAGATATCCATTCATTTGAATACACTAAAGGTTTGTGCATTTTTGATATGCTTAACATTCCGTTATACCATGGATGGGTTATTTCTTCTGATGATTTAATTTTTTATTCATATTTAAAGGATTATTCCTATAACGTTATAATAAACAAAATTGTTAGATATAATGAATACTATGAAAAAAAAAAAAGAAATTCTAAGGAATTATCAAATGAGAATTTAAATTGCAACGTAATAGAATTAAATAAAATAAATAATACAGAAGATTATATAAATGATAAAAAAGTAAGTAAAAATAATATTCCTATATTTCCGGATGATTTAGATAAAAATTCAGAAGATAATTTTAAAATAAAATTGCACCAAAGTGATATAATTCAAGAAAAAAATGATTTCTTTCATGAAAGTACAAAATTTGAATCAAATAATAATAAAAAAACCATTTTAAATGATAATATAAAAATAACTCAATCATTAGATTCTGGAAAAAAAATTAAGAATAATAACAAATTGAAAAATCAGATGTGTTATTCTGGTGAAAGAGGAAATTATAATAATTTGCCATTTCATCATGAAAATGCAATTTTTTATGAAAATGATAAAAATAAACATTATGAATATTCGCAAAACATACCAAGATTTCCTGAAGATACTGTATCAACGAATAATTTAGTAGAAAATGAGACATCTTGTAAAAATTTAGATAATAATATTGATACTTCTATACATGAAGTATTTACAAATGATAATTTTTTTGAAGATTCAAATAATGTAATTAAATTAACTAATGATATTAATGTTGATAATTATACTGACAATAATACTGAAAATAGTGAGAATTTTATTATGAAAAATTATAATACAGAAATTAATTTAACCCCTTATGAAATACATGAAGCATTAATAATGTCTGAGTTTCTTGAAGCTTATAAAACACAACTAACATTAATAGGATTAAAATTATTACAAAAGAATGTTAACCAAAATCAGTTAGTAGCATTTTTTAGGAACAACCATTTTAATACTTTATTTAAATATGAAAACAAATTATTTTTATTAGCAACTGATATATCTTTTTTACATTTAAATTGCACCTGGGAATTGTTTGATAATGTGGAAAATGATACTTCTTACTATGATCACAATTTTAAGTGTTTGTCTAATCAAAAAAATGCTCAAAAAAATATTAATCAATCTATTATTTACTCAAAAAATTGTGAAAAAAGTAATGGAAGAAATATATATTGTTTAAAATCTAACTCTTCTATTTCGAATAAAAAAAAAAAAAAAAAAAAATGCACTTTTATGTAGATATATTAAATACGTATATATCTGTATATATGTATTCATAAAATGTTTTTTTAATTATTATCCCAGAAAAAAAAAAGTACTTCAAGTTTTTATTAATTAATGTGTTTATAAATTTTTTTTTTTTTTTTTTTCATCCCTTTTTTTGAAAATAATACATAAATGTATGTATTTTCTTTTTTTTTTTTTTTTTTTTTTTTTTAATTAAATATGTGTTATTATTAAAAGAAATAAATAATATGTTATATGTATTTAATTAAAATTTTTTATTAGTTTTTTTTTTTTTTTTTTTTTATCAATTATTAAATTTAAGTATAAATAAATTTAAAATTTTAATGTTTTTTAAATATTTTAATATATAATTTCAAGTAAATTTTTCATTAATAAAGTTTTCTGCTTAATGCATTCTTCACTACAAATAAAAATATTTGGGTATTTAAGAATAAAAGAGAAAAAATTTTGTAATAATATCCTTTCTTTTTTGTCAATAAATAAAAAAACGTAACTATCTTTTCCATAATTTGTCATACTGTATAATATATCTATTAATATCACATAATCATTTGAATCAATTTTTTCATCGTGTGTATTTTTAATTTTCTCTTTCCTTGAATATTCATTTTCCTTAAATAAATCTTCTTGATTTTGTGTGTTCATTTTAATAAATGAGCAGTCTTGTTCATACTTTTTTTCCAAATGTTTTTTAATTTCTTTATCATTTTTAGTATCTTCAAATAAATCTAAAAAATTATTTTTGAATAAAGAATCCAATATATCCACATAAACATCTTTATCCAAATAAAAATTAAATATTCCTTCCACTAAAAAGGCGATTTTTAAAATATCAATCTGACTCTTTAAATTTTTTTTTATTTTATTTGAATTCCATAAAAGTTCAAAATTAATTTTATTTTTAATTTTTTCACAACTTTTTTCATTAGATAAAGTTAACAATAAAGGTTTTGTATCTTCTATATCACTTAAAATGGGTTTTTCTGATAATTCTAAACTGGAATCACTATTTATATGTTCACTGTTTAATAATTTAACATCATTTTTCTTATTTTCAACATTTTCTTCATTAATTTTTAAATTATTTTCATTATTATCTTTAGATTTTTTATTTAAAGTATTTACATCGTAACTTTTATTTTGAATAAATTCATTTACCTGATTTTCATTTTTTCCAAGTTTTTCATTTATTCCTTTTGTATTATTATCCTTATTTGTATTAGATATACAATTTTCCTTAATTTTTGAAATATGATTGTGTTCGTTATTACCATCTATTTCATTATTATTTTCAAAATATTTTAATTCCCTCATGCTACTTTTTGGTATGACTTCAATTTTTAGAAGTCTTGGTGTTAATTTATATTGTTCTAACATTGTAGATGTATATTCGTTTTGTCTTCTTATGTGTTTTTTTATATTGTTCTCTTTTATTATATTTTCTACATGTTGAATAGAATTATCAATGTTTATAGATTTGCAACCATATAATTCATTAGATAATTCCTTAGAATTTGTAAAATCTTTGAGACATAATTTATAAATTTTTAATTTATATCTTGCCATACCTCTTAAATAATATGCTTTGAAAATAATATATTTAATATTTATTGAAAGAAATTCCTTAACAGAATATTCAATACAATCCTTTTTATTTGGTAAAAAATATTTATAAAATAAAATTATAGAAGAACAATCCTGAATACTTTCAAAATAAGATGATAATTTTTGAAATACTAATGATCTGTTTATAAGTGTTTTTGTTCTTAGTATAAGTAATTCTTCTACTTTTTTATCAAAGATATAATTATTTGACATAATTTCTATATATGTTTCATTATCACAATTTTTTTCTATTTCTATAAATATATTGTTATTTCTTAATTCATAATCAATATAATTTATTATATCATTATAGTTTTCTAGACATTTATTATATTTTTTATTCTGATAATTTATTTTGCTCTCTTCGCTTTTACTAAAATAAATATTGTAAACTTTCGATTGAAATTTTACGATGTGCTCATTCTTTATATTATCTAAACTTTTTGAAACAGATATTTCATAATCAACATCAATGTTTGCATCTACATTATTTTTTCCATCTATTTTATGACTTGAATTATTTTTATTTGTATCATTTTCATTCATTGTTCCATTAATGCTTTTCATTTTTTTGTTATTTTCATTTGTTTCATCATCACATTTAATATTATTGATATCGTTATAAATATTATTAACAGTATTCTCATTAAAATTATTCACGTTATTATCATCATTATCATTTGAATCATTTTCAATATCATCCATTTTTAACTTATCCCATGCTTTATAATAACTATCTATAGAATTACAATCCCTTTTAAGAGAAATGTTCTTATTTTCTTTTTTATTCTTTTTTAAATTTTTATTACACAAATGTGTGTTATCATTTTCCCCTAATTCTTTTTCTTTTAAATAGTTATTTATATGTTTTTTTTTTTCTTCTTCTTTTTTTTCCTTTTCTTCTTTTGTTTCAATTTCACTTTGCCATCTGTACAAATCTTCAAAATATTCTTTTATTTCTACAGAGTTTTGTTTTAACTGTTTTGCTATTTCAATATGAGGTTTAGACATTTTTTTTTTTTATTTTTTAATATTATTATATTATTTTAATATTTTATTTTTTAATCCTTTAAAATTCTATTTTTTTTTTTTTATTCTAGAAAAATTGCTTTTTTTTTTTTAATTATTCAAATATATTTATGTATTTTCATTTTGTATTTATAGATGTTTTTTATATTAAAATGTATGTTTTTTTTTTTTTTTTTTTTAATAAATATATTAATTTTTTTCTTTTTTTAAACTAATATATTAATTTATTTGATCTTATATGTTTATTTTTTCTCTTTTGAGAATAAAGAGGTGCATACAAGACATACGTGTTCTTTTTTATTGTTATTTTCTAGTATTTATCATATAAATTATTTTAAATTTTAATTTATAAAGTTTACAGATTTATTAATAGAATTATTTTTCATTATAAAAAATATAAATAATAGAATATTTTTATATCTTCTTTTTCTATTATTTCTATAATGAATCAATAAAATTTTCCGTTTTTCTAAATTAAAAAAAAAAATGCAATAAGTTTATCTTTCTAATAAGAACCTGAAATGAGGTTACACTCATTAGATTTAAGAATTTAACTTAAATTTTTAAAAAAAAAAAAAAAAAAAATTTATGAGATACGAAAGTAATTTCTTATAAGGTAAAACTATTACAAGTAGAAGTTAATAGAATATAATCATATTTATTAATAAAATTTTTAAAAAATAATGAATACATTATTTAAAAAGTAGTATATACTAATAATAATCAATTATTAAATTTTTTTATTTAAAAATATACAGTTCATATAGAATTATATGTAAAAATTAATTGGAAATTGAGAATTTTAATTAAGTTACAATATAATTAAAATAGTATAAAAAAAAATATATAAACATATATATATACAAATTTTTAATTTTTTTCAAAATGTTTTCTCTTAGGACCCCAAAATGGTTCGGGATTTTCTAAAGTAAATAATTTAAAGGGTTTATGGTTTTTTTTAAAATTGGAAATATTTACATTATCAAAAGAAGATGCTTTTTTAAAAAAATCATAAGATAGTAATTTTTCTTTCAATTTTTCATCCTTTATAGTATTTATGGAATATATTTTTTTGTGTGTGCTATCATGTTCTTTACTATTGTTGAAACCATTTAATTCATCTTTTTTATTTTCTCCTGAATTCGAGTTTTTTATTTTGGAATTAATTTTATAAATTATTGTACGAAAAATATCCATAAAAACATGATTAGGTGCATTTGTTTTTACACTATCTGGGTCCTTATGAAAATATGAAACTTCATAATTCAAATTTAACAGTGCATTCACCAATAATTTTCTTGAAAATGAGCAAATTTTAAAACTTCTGAATAGTGATGGCATATTATAATATAAAGGAATATTTATTTCTTGTTGTAAGCATCTGAAATTTATTAATATTCTTTCTTTTGTTTTTATTCTATTTAAATTGTGCTTTTCTATATTTTCTAACAAAGAAATACATGTATTTATAAAATCAATGTTGTGTAAATTCCCAATATATATTGGACCACCTATTAAAATATCACCTTTACATTCTTCACATTTATTGGATATATTTAATTTTGTGCTTTTATATTTATAACTTATTAAAGAATTTTTCCTATTTTCATCATTTTCTATATTTTCATTATTTCCATTATTTTTATTATTTTCAATATTTTCTTTATTTTCAATATTTTCATCATTTTCAATATTTTCTTTATTTTCAATATTTTCTTTATTTTCAATATTTTCATCATTTTCAATATTTTCATCATTTTCAATATTTTCATCATTTTCAATATTTTCATCATTTTCAATATTTTCTTTATTTACATGAAATTCCCCATCTTCTAAAGATTCTCCTTCATTACTATTTCTACTATTTAAATTTTCTTTATCTTCGTTTATTTTTTCTGTACAAATCTTATTATTGTCAAAAATATAATTTTTATTTTTATTTTTATTTTTTTTTTTTGAATTCTTGTTACATGTTAATGAATGACTTATATCTTTTTTTGAAGCCAATGGGTTAATATAAAAACTACAACAATTAGAACACTGGTATACTAAACCTGTGTCAACACACACATCTTTTGTTTGAAATGCATCATCTAATACTTGAATCAGCATTCGAATATAAAAGTCAATATTAAGCGAAACAAATGGTATTATGCACTTTTTATATTTAGATGCAATTATTTTAATTTTATAAAGCAATACTCTTATACTAAATTCATTGTTATAATTCACTTTTTTACTAAAAATCATACTATTATATTTATAAAATGAAACATCTGGATATTTACCATTTAATATCCTCATATCTGTGTTTGTTATTAACATAAAAAAATTACTTCTCCCATATTTTAAACAACTTTCCAGGTATTCTATTGATGAACCATATGGATCTACATCAATTATATCAAACAAATATTTTTCTATTAGTTTACTTCTACTAATTATATCTTCTCTTATATTTTCTTTTAAATTGTTGTCAATATTTCCATTTTGTTTTATCTCTTCTTTTATTTCTCTATTTACTTCGTTCTTAATACATTCATTCTCTTTTAACTTTTTTTCTATTGCCTCATTTCCATTTACACTATTATTTTTATCATTAATTTTCTCTTTATAGTATTCAGTTTCCTCATCTTCTTTTGTTTCACTTCCATTTAAATCTTGTGTTAAGAAATTTTCATCATCATTTGAAAATGTAGTGGAATCGCTATCAACTTCATTATTTTTAAACTTATTATAATCACTTAAAAAGTTTAAAAATTTTAAAGCTTCTTTAAAATAGTTATTAAAATTACTTATACTCTTAATATATGTAAAACCTATATCTAACTTCTTATTATTTCTTTTTTTGCTATAAACATTGTCAAGATTCATTATATTCATAACACTGTTAGCATCATTACATAGTATTGTATACCTTTCTTTATTTATATTATTTCTTTTAAAATTTCTTCTTATTTGTTTGCAGGCATATTTATCAATATCATTAACTGTTATATGGTTTACTGTTTCATTTAATTCTTTTAAGTATCTTATACTTCTAATTCCACTAGCACTTAGTAACTCAATAATATTAAAGCCTCTAAATAATGTTTTTTCATTATCTTTGTTTTTGCTTTTTAAATATAATTCTAATGATTTTATTAAAACAATACTTAAGTCTCTATTAAATACTTGGGCTTTATTATAAAAAATATGCTTATTCTTATTTTTTATTTTAACATTTCCTTCATATATATATTTATCATTTTCATTACAACCTTCCAATGATTTGGTTTTAATCATATTCCTTTTAAATTTATTAAATTTATTATCATTAATATCTGTATTTTCATTTGCATACTTTCTTTTTCTTTTTTCATTCTTGAATGCTTCATTTTCAACATCTATCATTTTCTTTAATTTATTATCACAAAAAATTTAAAATAAATTACATAAATATATATATATATATTTAATTATTCTTTATATTTAATATGTATTTTTTTTTTAATTTTTTTTAAGAATAAAAAGGTTTTTTTTATAAAATTATTATTCTTTTACTTTTATATAAAATGAAAAAAAAAAAAAAAAATAAAATAATATAACATCACCTAGTAACCATTCATTTTATTTGAGTAAATTTATTAGTTAATATTTATTAATTTTAATAATCTTCATTTTTTTACAAAACACATAAAATTAGTATTAATGTTCTATATAAAAAAAAAAAAAAAAGTTTTTTTAATTGTATTTTATTATTTTTTTAATTATAATGTTTAAATATATTTTATATATATATATATATATATATATATATATATATATATATATTTTTGTTAATAAAATAAAAAAAGATAATTATGTAATTAAAAACATATAAATTAAATATTATTTTTACTATTATTTCTTCTATTGTAGAGTAATATAAATACATTAGAAACAAAAAAAATTGAAAAAATTAAAATTTTTTTTTTTATCCTCAAAAAAAATGGTTCATATAATAATATAAAAAATTACAGCTACATAATAAAAAAAAATAGAAAGAAATTTTTTTTAATAAAAACTCAAAGTTCACAAAATTAAAGTATCTTAAATGAAAACGTAAAACATAAATACTAGAAAAATAATTAGGCATATGAATTCAATTTTTCAAAAAATTGTTAATTAACTTATATTAATTTGATAAATAGAAATATTTCAGGGTTATAATTGGTATAAATTAAAAATAACGACTTTTTCTATTTGTTTAATTATTTTTATTATTACAAGAACGTAAAAGATAGAAAATTGTGATAAAAAAGAAAATTATAATAAATATGTTAAATTAATTTAACACCATATTATTATTTTTAAAAAAAAAATGGAAAATCAATTGTCGTATGATAATATTTTTGCAATATTTTTGTTTATATATAATTTATAAACATAGAACATTTTTTATAGAATAATATTTAAAGAAAAATAGAGAAAATAACATAATAATAAAGTAGATGCTACTTTTAAAAATTATAAAAATACTTTTGCGATATAACAAAAAAAAAAAAAAAAAAAAAATAAAAAAAAAAAAATAATAAAAGAATTTACAGTTAAAAAAATATATAAACAAAACTTTTTTTTTTCTCTCGTTTTTATATTAAAAGTGTTAAAGCTGATATATTCATGCAATATCATAATTATCCTTATTATTACATCTAATTTAGTAATATCTTTTATAAATCTTTCAATTTTCATGTAAAGTAGAAAATTAAGAAATATTGTAAAACATATTGTGTTGAAACATGTGTGCATGCTTTTTTATTTTTGGTCGTAATTTTTTTTTTTTTTTAAATAAAAAATATTTTGTTGTGCTGTCTAATAGAATAATAAAAAATGTATTTTGTTTTTTTAATTCATACATTTATATATGCAATTATATATACATATATATATATATCTAAATATACTGATATATATGGAAGTAAAATGTAAATTTACTATTATATTTATTTTTAATAATTTCTATTTATATAATTCCATAAAAATAAGTTCATATATTTACAGAGAAAAAAAAATTAATAAATGTTAATTTACGTTTAAAAAAAATTACATTAATATAAATTTTTAAGACATTATAATAATTGTATTTTAGTAGGATTTAGAAGATAATTGAAAAGCATAACATACTGAAAAAAAAAATAAAAAAATTAAGTAATCAGTTCACAATCTTAATATTTTATCTATAAAAGAATTTTTTTAGATATCTGATTAAAAAAAAAAAAAAAATATAAATAATATATAGTATAAAAAAAAGAATACATTATAATCATATGCGATTAATCAAAAGAAAAAAAAAAAATAGATAAATATATAAGGCTGCTTTATAATTATTCTAGATTGTAATATTTAAGAATAAATTAAAGTTTTTTTTCATAAGTGTGAAAAAAATAAATTATAATGTATCAAAAAAAAATTAAAAAAGTTAAATCATTTCCTGTATTGCAAGAAAAAAAAAAAAAAAAAATAAAAAAAACTGCCATAAAAGAATATAATTTCATAAATCAATAAAATGTTAAATACGAATTTTTTTTTAAAATATTTTAACTAAATATATTTAAGCCATCATATATTTTTTTTGTATATATATATATATATATATATATATACATATATATATATATATATATATATTCTTCTTAACTTTAATAAGATGCTTATCATCTTTAATTAAAATTAAAAATCCGTTTATTTTTCTTTTGAAAAAATTTAGAAACATACGAAAAAGAAAAAATTAAAAAAAAAAAAAAAAAAAAAAATAGTATAATGGAAAATACGGCAAAAAAGAAAACAAATGAACAAAAAAGAAAAAAGAAAAATGAAATCAAAGATAAAATATTAAGTGGTAAGGCAGTTTTATGTTTTGATGAAGAAATTGAATTTGATAAGTGTGATTCTATATTAGAAGATATTGTAGAAAATAAATTAAAAAATGAAAAGAAAAATTTAAGTAAAGATTATAATAACAAAAATTCGACGGAAAAAACAGAATTAAAAAAAAAAAAAGTCATAAAAAAAAATGAAAAAAGTAAAGTGGAGAATATAGATAAAATCACAAAAGATAGAGAAAAAGAAGAAAAAAAAAGTCATTACGAAGATAATGATAACAATAATAAAATAGATGATAATGAAAACACTAATAAAAATAAAAAAAAAAATAATAATGATAATGAAGAAAATTTAAAGTATGATTTATATAATCCTTTAGATAGTTCAACAAATAGTTCAGTTAGTCCTCGAATTATTAAAAGTTCAAATGAACTAAAAAAAAAAAATTCTACAAAGATTTTAAAAATACAAAGTAATTGTAATGATTTCATAGGAGAAAATAATGAAGAATTAAATAAATGGATAGAATTTTTACCTAATATTAATTTAGAAATAGAAAATATGTTAAATAATCAGTTACCATTTTATAATATAATTAACAACATTAGAAGAATTAAAAAAATAAAAAGTATTGTATATAATGAAAATCAGAATGATGAAATATTAAATTCAATAGAAAAATCTAATCTTATGTTTAATTCTATAAAACTTTCTACTAAAGAAAAATATATAATAAGATTTTTATGTGAGGGTTCATCCTATAATTTATCTGATTTAGTCGAGTTATTATTTTATGTTTTAAATAAAGATGAATTAATTCTTGATAAGTTACCCATAGAAATAGGTAATAATATGACTAGAAATGTAAATAGTCAAAGTTTCTTAATGAGCAAAATAGAAATAGAGAAAGGAAATAGTAATGAAGAACATAACTTAAGTAAAGATTATTCAATTAGTAAGGATATTGAAAATAAAGAAAGTTTTACTGATAATAATTTAAGTATGAAAAATAATAATACCAATAACAATAATTTTTCGTTGGACAATTTTTCTGATGATGAATATTATTCTGATGAAGAAGAAAACGAGAAAAAAGATTTTAGCATATCCATTAGTAAAGAAGATTTGTTTTCTAGTATACCTATTTTGTTGAGTAGAAAGAATTTAGGAGATAATATGAAAAAAATTAACGTAAGTAAAAATGAAAATAATGAAAAAGAATGTTTATGGGTTTGGGAAAATGATAATTATGACATATTTCCACCTTATTATAAAGAAGTATTTAAATATTTTAAAGAATTAAGAAGCAACATGAGTAAAATATATAAAACATTAATAAAATTAAAAAATTGTATTATAAGTAAAGATTTACAAAACATAATAAAGTTATATGATTCTTTAAATGAATTAAAAAAAAAGCAATTTTTAGAATCAGAAAAAAGATGCAAAAAAATATTAATTGAAAAAAAGAAAATTATAAAAAAAAAAATGGAAATTAAGAAGCAGGAAGAAAAAAAAAAAAAAATTGAAGAAATAAAATGTGTGGAAGAAAAAAAAAATTCTATTATTATAAAATATGACAGTTCAGCTCAAGTAAAAACAGAAGAAAAAAAAGTAAAACAGCAAAATCTTATTTTATCATGGTTAACATTAAAAAAAAATCACACAGTAAATACATTACAAACAAATGATAATAATGATCAAAGTATGAAATATCCAATTGTAAATGTCATTAATTTTAATGAAAGTTCAAAGGAGAAACTATTAGAAGCTCAAAATCAATTACCTATATGTATAAATATTTTTATTTTATGAACTTATTAATATATATATATATTTATTTATTTATAATAGAAAAATTTGTTTTTTATTTTTAAGTTTATGTTAAATTTAAATATATAAAAAGAAAAAATGATACATTTCATATACATTAATATAAACAAATTAAATATAGACTTACATATAATTTCATAACTTATTTTGTAGTTAAATGTTATAGAAATGATAATGCTTTAAGTGATGTATTTAAGAATATTTCAAGTTTTGGTAATACGAATAAAATTATAACATATTAAAAAAATAAAGTGTTTATATTTATGTATATATTTTCTATATTTAGATAAGCAAGAACTGCTAATGAATTATGTCAAATTATGTGAAAATCATAAAAGGGTAGTTGTAGATTATTTTAAAGTATATGGTAAATAAAAAATTCAAATTATTTTTGTCATATATAGTTATTTTTTTTCTATCACTAAAAATATATGAATATAATATATAAATAACATAAAAATTATTTAATGTTTTTTTTTTTTTATATGTAAATATAAATGAAATTTTTATATAGTTGATAATAGGGAGTTTTTTGAAGAAATACCATCTGTTGATAGTATGGATGGCAGTAAAATAATATTACAGGTAGGTATTTTATATTATATATATAATTATAAAATTATATAAGTCCTTTTTATTTATGATCTTCTCTTTTTCTCATTTTTTTTTTTTTTTTTAATTATTTTGTATTTTTAATTAAAGAATGAAAAAAGTGTACGATCAAAAATTTGGGAAGACAATGAATTTTATTTAAAGTTAAAAAATTCAAACTACATAAGAAGCTTTTTTTTTTATGACAATTCATGGAAAAGGCCTTTTATGTCATTATTAGTGCATAAAATATTGGACGTAAATATTTTCTTCTTTTTTAAAAAATTACTTATAAATTAATTTTTGTATATCTAAATGTTCAATAATAATAATTCTTTTATATATAGGACAATATAAATGTATTGCCATTTTACTATCATGATGATATGGAGTATGAAAATGACACAAATGAAGATTATTATGAGAAATTTGAAACTATTGATTTAACGACAGAGAATGAAGAAAACGAAACAGTATGAAGAACAAAAAAAAAAAAAAAAAAAAAAAAAAAATGAAATATATAAATAAGCAAAATATTTCTTTTAAAAATTATAGGAAAGTGACGGAAGTTCGCAAGATATGTTTATTGTTCCTGATAATGAAATAAATAGAGATATTGACTTAACACCAATTACAACTCCAGTTAGCCCAGATATTTATTTTTTTTCAATCTTTAATTGGGATTGGAACTTTGAAGGAAATCAAAAGCATAATTATAACAGTATAATTAAAAATTATTAAAAAAAAAAAAAAAAAGATAATTGAAGTTAAATGAATATTTTATATATTTTTTTATTTTTACCTTTTTTAGTAATTGATAAAAATGTATTGAAAGAATTTAATTTGAAATATAAAGAAAACATTTATGGATGTCAATATATTTCTTGGGGAAGTAAACATAATTTATTCTATTTTTTTTTTTTTTTTTTTTTCTTAAAAAAACATACAATGTATAATATTTTCTTTTTTCACTTTTATAATATTAGATGATAATAACCCTTTTAAGTATATGTCAGAAAGGAAAAACTTAAAAAATACCCTAGATAATTATGATATTAAAAAATTAATTAAAGTTAGCATTTTTTTATACCATTTTATTTTATATATTTTACTTATTATTTTATTTTATTATTTTTTTTTTTTTATTAAGCATTCTCATGGAAAAATAACAAAAAAGGATATTCTTGTTGATCAATTTAAAATTAAGTTAGACATATTTATTTTATTTTTTATTTTTTTTTTTTGAAATATATTAAAATATATATATGATTATTTTAATTCCTTTTAGAAATGAGCACCTAACAAAAGCAGACACTGAAAGAAAATTTAAAATATACTTAGTATATAAGAAGTGTGAAGATAATAGAAAAGTAAAACAAAATATATATAAAATTACAATAACAATATATTTGCCATATAAAAAATAATTTCATTTATATATAAAAGTAACATTTATGCTTTATATTTTGTTTATACTATTTATTGAACTTTTCTTTTATTTAGAAATGGATGGCATCAGAAGAAGGAGTGAAATTATTTAAAAATGAAAAATTATTGGAAAAGATTTATGAAATAAGAAAAAGAAAATTAAATTTTATATCTAGAAAAATTGAAGAAGTAAAGAGACAAAAAAAAATACACAAAGAGAATTTGAAAAAAGAGGAAAAGATAAAAAAGAAAGAAAAAGCAAACCATGAAAAATTAGAAAATAAGGAAAATATAAAAAAGGATGAAAATATGAAAGATGAAGAAAATTTAGAAAAGAAAGAAAGTTTATCAAAAGATCATATTTTAAATGATGAGAATAAATCTCCAAAAAACAAGTTAACAATTAAAAAAGGATTAGAAACAAATGAAAAATAAGTTAAATTTTATAAAATAATTATAATTTAAATAATAGAAAGATAAAAAGATTTACAATTTTTTAATATGGAGAAAAATGAAAAGTAAAAAAAATATAGAAATTTAAAAAGAATAAGATGTATTTTATCAATAAATAAATAAAATTTTTTAAATATAAATATTTATAATAAAGCAACAAAAAAAAAAAAAAAAAAAAAAAAAAAAAAGGAAATATAGAAAATATAAATGCAAATCACTTTTACATATTTTATAAATAATTGTATAA